CCAGTTCATGAGCATTGTGGGAAATTTTACTGTTTCCCCTGTTGTAGACTTGACCCAAATAATGCACACTCTGTATTGGAATTTAGATTGTGTTTTAGCACAGATCAAATCAGGAACCCTCTATTGCTGTATGATTCATTCTATAAAATGCATCCTATGTACTAATCTCATGTTTTGGTGAACATAGATTTTATTGTGCCACACATTGTCTGTTCCAATATATTTTTCAGGAATATAAATGTTAGCTCTCAAACAAGAAATCAGATAAAGCAATGAAGACCAAAAACTTATGTCAGTAACAGATAACCACTCCATTTTCTAAGTATTGTTTTCTGTCTCAATGAATGTTCTTACTATATTTTTTGTTTAGAGCCATGCAAAATATTTCAAATTCAAATCATTTTGACTTTGGAACATCCCATTTTGAGTGTGAAAGATTTAGAATGTTTCAAGTGCAAAATGGGGTAGTTCAATCATTTTGGAAATATTTGCATTGAAAATAATCAAAACAGCTCATTTCACTCTTGAGTTGGGAATTTCAGCTGGAAGTAGTTCAAATTTGAAACATTTTGCATGCTCCTAATGTTGTTCATGCATCTCAGTAAGGTCCTCGTCACTATCAAGGATCAAATGTGTGTATGTATATAAAAGAGTCAGAATAGATATGTAACTATAGAGCTGATACTGTTATTTCACTTGTAAAAAGATCCCAACCTTTCATAGCTGTTTTGGGGCAAGCAGTCCAGAGAATTATGCCCAATTATTTTATAAGTCAACATTCAATGAACGCTCTTATCCCCAATCTTATGTTTATTATTCACTGTTTTTCTGAATCTGAAATAAAAATCCTTTAGACTGAATGTACGCTTGTCATTATTGGGAAAAGTATATGCATTCTATCATATAACAATATTCTTAGAACAAGATAGTATATTCTGACATTTTCATAATCACAGCTATGGTAATAGATATTTGATTAGTCATTTCTGGATGTTGCTAAGGGCCACTGTAGATGCAGGATAGCAAACCCATCTTTTTACAGGGTATTTCAGAAGCGGGGAGGATCTGCATTATAAGGGCAAAAACAGGCCCAGGAAAGAGGTTGAAATCTTTTCATGTCAATTACAGAACTTCAGGTTTATCTTTTCCATAGAGGGGTGACTGGTAAGGCAATCTTGAGGTCTTAGTCAAGCCAGTTGTATGTAGATAAGTAGTAGATGGGGCAGTAATCTGTTTTTGGGACTGTAAGACAAGAGCATTCACCTTAATGCTTCCAAAAGTTGCATTTTCTGACAACTTACAAGCCATTTGGCAATCTGTTGATGTCAACTGGGAAATAAATGCCACTAAATCCAAGAGGGCTGACTCTGAGGTAGGGGAGTATAGAGACAATTGCAGCTGGTGTCTTGGGGAAATGGTATGATAGAGGAAGGGTGTCTGGTGGTAGACAAAGTCAACTCATTCAGTTTTTGGATAAATTCTCAAACTAAACCTTAAGCACTATGGTATAATTCCTTGAGGCTGAGGTGTCAATTCCTAATCATGATGACATCAAAAAGACAAAATGTATGTCATGTCATGATTCAAGCTCCACCTTTTCATATTTGTGTCATGACTTTGCACACAAGTATGTAAGGGGTAGAACACGTTTCAACACTTACCTCCCTGCAGATGTCTACATCTTGAGATTTAATACTCAGCTGTATTTAGAAATAATGTCCTACCTTGATTCAGTTGGCTTATAGGTTACTATAAAAATAATAAATTTCCTTTGCTTGTTAAGCTCCATTTTGTTTTGTTCAAACTAAGATATGTAAATTTGCAGCTTAGGAAATGGTTAAAGTGACACCTGTTAATGGAAACTTTTAGGGGCCTTCCATTCATATATTCTTCACTCCCTCAAAAGCATTCAATTTCCCCATTTTGACATAGTGAAAGCTATCTTACATCTCCCTTATAAGAAACATAGCTGAAGAAAATAGATTATTACACATGCTTAAGGGGCTTTTTGAAGGCTCTTTTCTGTTTTTCCTGTTTATTACTATAGCAATATCATATACAGAGACATACTTATAGTAATCAATAACATTTTAACACTACAACCAATATATTGTGGTGTGCAAATGCTAATAAAAATCCACATAATATGAGTGTTGGTATCTGCTACTGCAGGAAAGATTCAATGGCTTTTGCTCTTTCAATAAAAGGAAAATTCCCTTTACTTGTTGGTGTCTTCATTGTTAAGTAATGGAATATTTTCTGAGATGATGCTAGGAAAATACATATATTCCCAGCTCTCGTTTCTTTTTTTGCCCACCACTAATGATAAAATCTCACATCCAAAAGGTTTTTGCTCAATGACAGATGAATTCACACAGGCAGGTTCTGCAACAATTGAGTTATATGAATATTAATCACAACTCAGTTGTATGAGTATTGCACAGATATTTCATGTAAAATACATTCAAAGATATCCTTCTTGGGAATATAGAACTCACTGGCGGCCCACAATTATTTGATGGGCAGAAAAGGAACAAAAGCCTCATTCTCTTTAATCCTCCCCATCCCCCATTTAGACCATCATTCCAGGCTTTAAGTATCATAGCATGTGGTTCAGACAATGAACAGCTGCATTCTTTATCCCACACATCAGTAGAGTGAGATATATATGCTGCTGGAATGGCCCTCTGGCCATGTTGCTGCGATATTCTCAGTCTTCTGGAATGTGAAGTGGTGGCTTTGCTGCACTGGACTCCAAAACAGAAAATAAGGAGATAGCACTAGCAGACTGCTGTACTATTCCCCTCGTCTCTGCTTGGAGGAGGAGGAAGGTGCAAAGCCAGAGTAGCTTAAAAGGAAGAAATTCTCACAATAGGAGAACAGGTAAGGGCCTGAGTTCTTGCAAGGTTAAAATGAGGAAACGGAAACTTATGTTTTAGAAAAGTATGCTTAATAGTATTTTAAAAATGTAAGTTTCTTAGAACTATGAATATCCAGGTCAAAGAGATTGTTGTGACCAACTAGAAGAGAGATGCAAATACACAGCTCAGTAATTTATCCTATTACAAATTAGCATAGCCAAGTTAGAATAAGGCTATAACAACTGTAGCACAGACTTCCCCAATCTGGAGTTTGTGTGTACGCCTTTGAGTCAGTGTTGACTCCTGGCAACTGCCTGGACAAGTCCCTGCAGTTTTCTTGGCAAGGTTTTTCAGAAGTGATTTGCCACTGCCTCCTTCACATGGCTGATTGAGAGTGACTAGCCCAAGGTCACCCAGATGACTTTGTGCCCAAGGTGGGATTAGAACTCATAGCCTCCCTGTTTCTAGCTCAGTGCCTTAACCACTACACCAAACTGGCTCTAACCTAGAGTTTGCTTACTGGAATTATGGGAAGGTGATTCAAACTGATCTTGGAATAAGCTGCTATACATACATTTAGAAGGGAAACAAAATGGGCTGCTACTTTCCACTAAGAAGCTAACTCAGACATACCTATGAAAATAGTATAAAATGAAGGGTATGGTAAAGAGCAAAAAGATTGCCTATGCACAGAAGTAATGGAATTCAACTGAATTCTATAGCTGAATGAATGGAATAGAATCTTCAGAACCTGAAACTGATTTAATGGGAAAACCTATCTTCACTTCAAGGAAAGTGAAGATTTAAAAGGGAAGTTTCTACTCTAGGTCCTCAAGGACTACACAACCCACTTATTCACAGTTAACTAAATCATGCTTTGTTAACTCAGTTTTCTGGATCTGTGCAGCACATTCAACTATAAACCAACTAGATGGGCTGGCATCACACAATACACAAGGCTAAAATGTAGTTTATTATATCAATGTATATAATTTCCTATCTCAAAATTGTGACTCTAGTTTTTGAGCTTCACAGTAAATATAAGAAAAAATGTGGGTTTGGGATGTTGGGGAAGGGGATGAGAGAACATGATGGAATAATACAGGGAGGTGGCTGTGAAATCCTTCATAATTCCAGGTACTGCCTCCCACTTTGAGGGAAGTGAGCTGTATGAACCTTCAGAGTTAATTTTTCTAGCTGGAGCTCAGAAGATTTCATTGTCACCTTTAACTGAAAACAATCTTTGCCATGTATAAATATCTAGTACTTTTAAGACTGCATTGCTGTGCATTCTTATCTGGGAGCAAGCCCTGATAAGCCCAGCAGGACTTAAATCTGACTAAAAATAAATAGGACTGTATTTTGTGGCTATAGGAAAGAGAGAGCCTGAATACAGAAATAATTCACCAGTGCTATAGACACTTGTGCTATTTCCTTGCTAGCGATTTATAGCATCTTATAGTACAATCACTGCTGTGCCAGTGTAACAGTAACAAAGAAAAGCTTTCTATTGCCACACCATGAAAGGATGATGTTTTAACCCACTAATGAGGAAACAGCCAGTTTATTATTTATGAACATTCATGCAGCTGAACAGCTTAGAGTATGTTTTCCACCTTGTGGTTGGAGAGGGAAAGTACAATTTTACTACTTCCTTCTGTGAGAGCAAATACAGGGTATGTGGCATCAGGGAAGAATCTATGAGCAGAAAAGTCACTTCAGCTTGTTTGTTGATGAAGATTCTCAGTCATCCAGGTGGAATTATCTGGAGGTTGAGTCATGGC